ACTATAATTCAAATGGCTTGCGACGGCTATTTATTTTACAACGCTGACACTCACATCCATGTGGTAAGTATATGAGCAGCCAATGAGTAGTTACTAAAACTAGAAGCAAATACTGGGGTTATTAACAGAAATAATTTCCGACACTATGGCGCCTTGTTAATCGAGTAAAATTACGCAATTGTCATTTTATGCCTCAGGACATTATAACTAAACTGAACAAGTTCTCCGAACACGCCATGCTGGAAACTTTTGATTAGGTCAGGTTATTTGTTGTTTAACGCCGCACTCAGCAATAGTCCAACTATATGACGGCCGTGTGTAAATAATCGAGTCCAGACAATCAAGTGATTGACATCATGAACATCGATCCACGCACATGAGTGAGTGAGCGAGTATGGTTTTACGCCGCTTTTAGCAATATTCCTGCAATAGCACGCGGGGGACACCAGAAATGGGCTTCACACATTGTACCCATGTTGGGAATCGAAACCGGGTCTTCGGCGTGACGAGTGAACGCTTTAACCACTAGGCTACCCGACCGCCGATACGATGACATGCATCAATCAAGTCAGCGAGCTTAACCACCCGATCTCCACGGGTCCTTTGATTCTGGTAACGGTCTAATCCATGCACTTTAATTTGACTTCCTTTCTATTGACTTTTCACCGTCCAAATGTGAAATATATAACTCCAACTTAGCACATTTGATCAGGTGAATCTTACTTCTGTCAAAGTGGAACCACTTGTGCTCATAGCTCTGCCCAGAGGATCGGATCCTGTTTATGAATTCCGAGTACGTCCAGTAGACATGGTCATCTATTGGATCATACGCGACACTCCGTGCATAGGGAGCAGTGATCGCTAGGCGAGTACAGTTGATGGCGATACCCACCCTGCACATGTGGATGGTACCAGTTGGAGTTGTTTCCACTACAAACATACTCTTGACCAATTCTGGAAGAAATGTTTGAAGAACATTGTAAATAATATGTGGTGATGAAGATTATATGAATGGATGACACCAGGTGTTTGCAAAAAGGGCAAGCAGCACCCGCCACTCGCACAATTTGCATAAAGATGTATGTTTGCTCTTTGAGTGAGTGAGTGAGTATGGTTTTACGCCGCTGTTAGCAATATTCCAGCAATATCACGGCGGGGGACACCGGAAATGGGCTTCACACATTGTACCCATGTCGGGAATCGCACCCGGGTCTTCGGCGTGACGAGCGAACGCTTTAACCACTAGGCTACCCGACCGCCCCCTGTTTGCTCGTTGAAGCCTTGTCTGAACCGTTTTGGAAAAATGGGGTATTTCCATGGAAATGCACGATGACCATCATTATTGTGTGTCTAAACTAAACGAAAGCATACAAATGGAATTTGGATTCGACCAAAACAATCTCTGACACACTGCAATCTTAAGGTCCAAAGAGAGATACCCGTATCAAATACATCACCATGGAATAACCATTTCTTGTTTGTTTCATTTTGGGCCACCATCAAACATGGGTGTATACATTCTTTGCCCTGGCAGTTGAGTACGTTCCTCACGCTGACCCTACGCGCTACAAGAGGTTATTGTTTGTTTGTTTGTTTGTTTGTTTGTTATTTAACGCCGCACTCAGCAATATTTCAGCTGTATATGACGACTGTCTGCAAATAATGGAGTCTGGACGAGACAATCCAGTGATTGGCATGATGATGATCGCTGTTGGGATACGATGATATGCCAGGGTATGAAACTCCCAAAAATTTCAGCCAGACCACAGGACTGGCTAGTTGAAATACTTGCCAGCCCTGACCAAAACCTGCCTGCCAACTATAATCATATGTTACTCAGGATAACCTAACAGGATTTCTTTTTGGTTACATTTTATCATTCATCTTTACATGTGAATTAATGATTATCATCGGGAAATATTTAGAATATTGTCACATATGAAATATAACCCGACCGTCGGGCAGGGGGATTTGAAAATCTGGCAGCCCGAGTTGAAATCAACCCGTCTCGGACGTTCGGGCAGGCAGGTATTTCGAACACTGGATATGCATCAGCCAAGTCAGCGAACCTGACCACCCGATCCCTTTCGACGACGCCTATGAAAAGGGGGCTAATGTCTTACTCTTCACGGGGGGGTATTAACAGTTCACTTACCATTGCTGGTTGATCTTGGTATGAGGAAAACAAACAGTGCACCCAACGTAACACTTTCAGCAAGCATCACATGCATCGCAGGTCTCCGATCATCTCTCCTCTGTGCCACACATGCGGACACAAATTAAAGCTACTTAATGACTCGATCATATGATGTGTTGTGGTGAGTTCAAAAGGACATATTTGGTCATGACATCTGAGTGTGGGAGTGGCTATTTTCGCCTTCAGCTTCCCTAACCTACAAGTAGCATGTGTAAACGGCATATAAGCAAGGTTGAGGGTAAAACGAACATATTGTCGATGTAATATTTCCATTGTTTCTCAGATACGACATTGCGCTGATTGAGTGAGTGTTGGTTTGAAGTGGGGGGAAGCTGAAGTGATGCAGGTCGTTTACGTGTAGCACTTGGGTGAAACTCACAAGACTGGGTATGGAGCTGACAATCCAGGAAGCATTATCATCTGGGATTCGAACCTTCGTACACAGTACTCTGGCATGCAAAGCAACTAGGGGTACTTTTCCTGACTTAAACCAGAAACCCATATCGGGGACGTTACTGACAGATCAGAGAGTATCTAATATAAAGGGTTAACACCTTACACCATCGAGCCCTCTTTATGGCAAGCACGGGTAGGTATTCAGCAACAGCAACATTATATGAATGAGATCGTATATGGATTTGTTCGACACATCGGTGTTCAAGCGAATATAAATGCCCACGAAAAAGGTATATATAGCCTCGATACTGGACGTTGAGGTATATACAGGATGAAAGGGCTCCATGACAGAGGTGTACCATGCATAATCAATGCTGTGGTCTAAAGAGGATTTCATTAAACCAGACCCGTGAAGATCCGGGATAGAATAGTTCTTCAGCAACTAAGCTTGCTGTAACAGGCGACTATGTTTAGCATAAGAGGCGACTAACGGGATCGGGTCGTCAGACTCGCTGACATGGTTGATGCATGTCATCGTATCCCGTTTGCGTGGATCGATGCTCATGATGTCAATCACTGGATTGTCTGTTCCAGACTTGATTATTTACTGACCGCCGTCATATAGCTGGAATATTGCTGAGTGCGGCGTTAAACAACAAACAAACAAAACATATATTGTGTGTGCTGTCTGTGTTGGCCGAAGGGATGCAAATGTGCGAACGTTTCAATTTAAGGTTTATTTGAAGGCTTAGCAATATGGAAATATCAATAACTATCTTTCCAACTGTTATTTTAAATGCTTAGAAACACGCATACATCGGCCTTTGTCTTACAGAATGAATTATCCTCACAGTTTCGTGCACGTGCTGTTTTATTGTCATTGTTAGTGCAATGGCTTTGAACACTGAGCCTTCCTGTTCATGAACTTCTCATCGCTGATGAAATAATGAATGTCAATCATGACGTTTCTCGCTCTATGACGAACCGGTTTCAAGGCACGCCTCAGCTGCAGCTTCCCTCTGTTTCCTTATTTTCATCTTCATCATTTCCGTTGATTATTTATATCAGACTTGAGGGGGAAGACCACATTGCCACCAATCGTACCATCAGTTTCGGTGACCTGGTATATAAATTCTACAAACTACTAACAAATATATCTACAATACAATGATTATTTATGCACCAAGTGCTTAAAACGGAAAATCTATTTTCATGAATTCGATGTATTTTCGATAGGTAGACACGTGAAGGAATTTCCAAATGCGTTTGTTTTTACATGTGAACATATCACTTCCATGTGTTTGTGATTAGAACGGGACCACTGTACAATTCCAAGTATATCATTAACATATAGTTATGAATCTCTGTCAATTAGTAATGATACCAGAACGAATATTAGGTGAGCAAGAAACGTTATCACTGCTACAAAGTATATAATTGTCATGTTAATGAACCAACATTTGTAACATAACATATAACAGTGTTACAGTTAAACCGTACGTAACTTCTATTCTATTCTACGACAATATGACACTATATTCTATTCAATAATGAGATGGCTTTATTGACAAACAAAGCAATCTATGCTTGTAAGAACCGACTAACGTGATCCGGTGGCCAGGCTCGCTGACTTCGTTGATGCATGTCATCGTAACCCAATTGCATAGATGCTTATGATGTCAATCACTGGATTGTCTAGTCCAGACTTGATTATTTACAGACCGCCGTAATATAGCTGGAATATTGCTGAGTTCGGCGTTAAGCAACAAACAACAACATCACAATTCGATATAACGGTGTTCAAGCTTATATAAATGCCAACGAAAAAGATACAGCATCAATACTGGAAGTGGGGGTATAAACAGGAGTCCAGAGCTCCATCACAGAGGGGTAACATGCATAATCAATGCTGTGTTTTGAAAGGGTCATCATTAAACCAGATAAGCAATTCTTCGAAAACAGAAACAACCTCAGCCCTACTGATAGTTCAGCTGTCAATGTGCATGCTACGAAGCAAATGATGTTAGTTCATTCTGTTATTTACGAGGTGTTTTGTTCCTGGATACCATGTGAAAGAGAACATCTTAGTTCCCCCTGCCTTCGTGAATACATCACAGAAAATGTAATGGAGGCTGGATGTATGAAGTGGAATATAAGCAAAACCCTTTCCAGAGTCCATTGTGCGAGTCCGACTACATCCTAAACATGTGTTTATGAATCACTATCAAATAGTCATGATACCAGGTGTATCCTGCCTACCCGGTTGAACCCGTCACAAACACATGCAAATTTGAAAACCCACGACCCGGCCAACCGCAGACGGGCTTCGTCAATACGGAAGCACGTCTCGCTGGTGTTAAAGGATATGACACATAATTTTACTTTAAATGTGATAATATTCATGTGGCCGATGTAGTTTTTGTATATATTTGTTTTAATTTCATTTTAGGTTTTTACGTATATTTATCATATATAACTAGTTGTCCGTTTCAGTCAGCTAAAACAAAGTGTATCTGACCTGTCTTACCTACTAACTGCCCCATGGCCAGAAGCTTCATTTGCTGATTGGCCAAGCTAACACCTATTGTTAAACTGCATGCTTTGATTACACTGCATACTCTCTCAGCACATAAACTGACAGAACTGCTCAGACCAGCAAAGTGTAAAGAGAGAATATTAAATCAGGTGAGTTAAATAGTTATAATCTATATCTTGTGTTGTATTTAAATAATACAGTATGTTCAAAGTGTTATATGAAGTAAACTAAATGTATGTAATCTAACATAAATGTTGATTTATGTCTAAATATTTAAATCTGCATAGGATAAGCTAAACATCCATACTTTATCACTAAAATGTATTCTATCACTTCAATGAAATATGTGTGAAAGTGTTTTACCTCAAGAGTGTTTTAATAAGCTTTGTAATGTAGAGATTTAGATGTGATACAATGCAAATCATTGTAAAGAAAATGTGTGTATTACTTTGTTCAATATATTAAATGTTAAATAGTGTTTTAGTCTATGTATTGTTTATTCAGATAATCTATGGTGTTGCCATATAGGCAGTTGGGATCCACACCCTTGTATCACCCACAGGGTATGCATTGTGTTATTTATATTTGTCTAAGACTTACAATGTAATCTAATTGTGATGACCACATTTAATGTAATATCATATCATTAATTTCTGTCTTAAAGTATTGTATATGTTTATGCAGAATGTGTAAGCGTTATGCATTTATATTATGTATATATATTGTGTATATATTATAGTCAAATGAAAGTCAAGGAGTTATCTCCCTTGAATGTCGGTATTGTTGATCATGTACATACTGTATATGTTCTAGTATAATCGTTTAAGGTTCAGTCTATCTTGTGTTTAATGGATGACTAATATATGTAAATAATTACTTGTAATAAGCCTATGCTATGTATCTAGCATTAATGATAATGTTTTACTTAGTATTTATTGTGTTATTATGTGTTTCAGGGTGTATGATATATAGATCCTTATCACACTCGACGCATCGCAATAAAGACCTCAACCCCGTAGCATGTGTTTGTTCGCTATAAAAAGACCTTCACTAAACTGCTACATTCATAGGAAGTCCTCTTTTAACTTTCATCCCATCTTCTCTCAGTCACTATCAGACTCGTGAATCGTGAACGTTAACATGTTGTGATGCCCTACTGTTGATGATAAGCATAGCAAGCTCCTCTCATCGATATCTGAAGTGATACTAACGTCTAGCGAAGGTAGTATGCACTGCCTGTGAGCTCGGCAGCGTTGTGGACAGGGGTGCGGTACTTCAGTTGGAGACCGAGTCAACATTTTCAAATGTTTCCTCAATTGCTTAGATCCCTCTAAAACTATTATGAAGCATTACTGAAATACGATCAAATGATTATTAATACGAACTAAATTGAATTAAGGCCCGTGACATTTTTTGTGAAAGGTATCACTGTAGGAGATGCGAAGTAACACTATGTGAGACAGGGCGTACATTACAGCATATATCCTTGCACCGCTATTGGACCAGGCCCCAAAATTTGTTTGTTTGTTGTTTAACGCCGGACTCCGAGCAATATTCCAGCTATATGATGGCGGTCCGTAAATAATCGAGTCTCGACCGGACAATTCATTGACATCGTGAGCATCGACCCAATCAATTGGGATACGATGACATGCATCAACCAAGTCAGCGAGCCTGACCACCCGATCCCGTTAATCGCCTCTTACGACAAGCATAGTCACCTTTTACGGCAAGCATGGGTTGCTGAAGACCTATTCTACCCCGGATCTTCACGCGTTACCAGGCCCCAGCACGTACTCGACAAACCTTTTTTTTATAAATCTACGAAAGGACGACTAACTTCGTAATTATAAGGATTGCTTTATATTTTGTGTGCATTTTTTAAGGATAACACAGATGTTGTATATAATCGCTCAGCTACGCAACACGGTTTGACTTGTTTCGAGCTGATACCCTTCGATAAATGAACGAAATATGAAAAAACAGTCTTGAATGTGACTAAAATGAAATGAAGATAGTCAAAGACCAATAAATGCTTTGATCAGGCTGTTGAATTCCTTTATTGTTCCATGCATTGTAGTATGTAATATATGTGACCGTTATATTTACAGAATATAAATGTATAACATTTATTTAACAATGAATAGTATTTGGATAACGTAACATTCATACAAAAAACAACACAGCCCTTCTTTAAGGTGCAGTCAATAGTGTGTCCTTGCAGCGGTCGTATGAAAAAATATATCTATACAGTTACAGATCCATATCAGCGTGGTCAATGTTCAGAGTTACTAATCTCATATGACCTTATTAAAAAACAACAATTGAACCGGAACCTGCTAGTTGTCCTAAACTTAATAAATACGACAATTTTATTATATCTTTTTCAGACTTTTTAAGGCTGCATAAAAAAATAATGTTTCTCAAAAGTCAGGTGGGAGGTAAAGGGCTTTTATTTTATTTTTTATTAAAAACAAGTGACGAGGAGGAACACCTTTTCCCACACAAAGGGTATCAGCAGACACAACTAGGAACACATTGAAGTCGGCTCTTTAATATAGCGCCAGTAGTCGAGCAAGATACAAGTAACAGTCCCATTTATATAATGCGAGACATTTGAAGAATGTAATATTGGCAATAAGAACGACTGAGTGACATGTGGAGTGACGCGAGAAACATTTCTCTTTTTTCAGTCTTACAAACTGCGATTTTGTTTTATCAAATATCACCACACTGCTAATTTTCGAAGAGTGAACGTTTCGAATTTTGAGCAGATATTTGTAGGCAGCAGGTAATACTGGTAACCTTTATGGGATAAGACAACCACATCACAAAATAGATATTATGAATTATTTGGGTGAAAACGGATGGGGAAATTCATTCGAACAAATAATTGATTTGATGTGGCACATTCGTGCTCCTTCTTGGGTACGGAAAGGTTTATTACAATAGATGCCATCTTGGAATGCCATGAAGTTATGTTCTGACAATCGATAACATCGAATGGCTCTCCGTGAACTTAATCTGTCACTATTCAAAGATGCTAGAGGATTACTTGGAGGAACTCAATATTAACGAAGTCCTTTTCAACGAAAATAGAATATATATTGAATAGTGTGTCCGCCTAGTCCTTCATCACTAATGGACAATGGAAGGCAGGTAATGGAAACAACCGTTTTGCAAACTACCACTGTAGCGTTCGCCAAGATGAAGGGGGACATCCAATGTTTAGTGTACGTTACAGTGAAACCCTGATAATCCGGACGGTGACATATCCAGTGGAACGTCTGGTTTTAACGTTTTTCTTGAAAACCCAATCATGGGTATAGAGTACTCAACGAATGGAGACGTTCCTCGTGCGGTAAACAGGTGTATGGACTAAGGAGGTTTCGCTGTCCGTGTTACTACTGTTGTTCAAGAAAATGGCACTTTTGTTTGTTTGTTGTTTAACGCGGCCTCAGCAATATTCCATCTAAACGACGGCGGCGTGGAATGATCTAGTCGAGGTTAGACAATCAAGTGTTCGATACTGTCAGCAACGATCCACGCAGTCACGGTACGATGACAAGCAATGAACCATGTCACCGAGCTTGACCACCCGATCCATTCTCCTACGACCTTGTGACCTATTCTAACCCACCTCTCTCTCTCTGTGTGTGTGTGTGTGTGTGTGTGTGTGTGTGTGTGTGTGTGTGTGTGTGTGTGTGTGTGTGTGTGTGTGTGTGTGTGTGTGTGTATGTGTATAAAACAGTTACAATTATTAAGTGTGTCCAGTTCCTGGTCCATATAACTGTAGTCATCGTGGCGTAAGAGATCATTCATTCACTCACTAGCACATTCTGCTTGATCACAGTTCCTATCAAATGTATCCCATACTTGTGCGCATGTTGGATAGTTTTTTATCAGCAGTCCCGTTGTTCGTGTATGTGTGAGATACTTACACAGCGAATACATACAGTTTCCAATTGTGAAAAAGGTGACACAATTCAAGATATGATACACATCGATACTGAATAAAACAGTACAGTGAAATGCACAAATAACACAAATATTGTTCAGAATTAAAATTCGGAGATAAAGACTGAGCTAGCTACGGAGTAAACAAACACACGTTTTATATATCTGAATTTAAAAAAGAACAGTTCATCGTGAAACAATTCGAATACTGGCGGGGTGAGATCAATGTATATCATATAAAAAATTAAGGATGTAGACTGTTTCGTCTTCTTTCGCAGGATAACAACACCCATCACTCCATCCCTGCTTCTTCGAGTCCTACAAAGTCCAAAGCTCTGATACCACTCTGTATTGTAACTTGTATTCTATTGCCGCAGGCTCAATAGACAACCAATGCCTTGGTTAAAACAACGTTCATCTTTTCAAATACAAATAGTACATGTTCGTGGAAAGGACTGTTCATTTGTACAAGACGACAATAAAGAACCCCTTTCGTCACGGGATGAATCCAGTTCTCACTCACAGGGCTGAGCGAGTGTCAAGTCAACATTTATCGCCTTTCAACCTTTTGTATTCTCTGTGTTTGACGTCTTCCTGAACGTCTTTCTCTTGTCCCAACACTTGACAGCGTTTCATTGTATCACACGTTGCATGGAGTGTCGTATCTACCTTTCCTTCACACTAGCTTCCAGTTTCATACCAAAGTCGTTCTTTGATTGAAGTTTGATTCGTTGTATCTTGAGACCCGAGGCGAGCCACGAGCCAGCAGTTTGGGGCCTTCTGTTCTGGTACATGGTCCGACAACGGAGACCATTGGCAGAGTCGAAGTATCTGCCAGTGGTTGTGGCTGGTCGGGGTTGGACGACAATATCACGCTGGGACATCCTTGAGGAAGGCAGCGTGTACCTAGGGTCAAGTAAAATACAGGTGAATAACACAGGTTCTCCACATCATTCACAACATTAAATGAATGAGATCGTACATGGATTTGTTCGATACATCATTGTTCGACACATCGGTGTTCAAACGAATATAAATGCCCACGAAAAAGGTATATATAGCCTCGATACTGGACGTTGAGGTATAAACAGGATGTACGGGCTCCATGACAGAGGTGTACCATGCATAATCAATGCTGTGGTCTAAAGAGGACTTCATTAAACCAGGCCCGTGAAGATCCGGGGTAGAATAGGTCTTCAGCAACCAAGCTTGCCGTAACAGGCGACTATGCTTGTCATAAGAGGCGACCAACGGGATCGGGTGGTCAGGCTCGCTGACTTGGTTGATGCATGTCATCGTATCCCAATTGCGTGGATCGTTGCTCATGATGTCAATCACTGGATTGTCTGGGCCAGACTCACTCACTCACTCACTACAAACCGCCGTCATATAGCTGGAATATTGCTGAGTTCGGCGTTAAGCAACAAATAACAACATCACAGTTCGGTTTAACGGTGTTCAAGCTTATATAAATGCCAAGGAAAAAGATACAGCATCCATACTGGAAGTGGGGGTGTAAACAGGAGTCCAGAGCTCCATGACAGAGGTGTAACATGCATAATCAATGCTGTGTTTTGAAAGGGTCATCATTAAACCAGATAAGCAATTCTTCGAAAACAGAAACAACCTCAGCCCTACAGATAGTTCAGCTGTCAATGTGCATGCTACGAAGAAAATGATGTTAGTTTATCCTGTTATTTACGAGGTGTTTTGCTCCTGGATACCATGTGAAAGAGAACATCTTAGTTCCCCCCTGCCTTCGTGGTCGTGCGGCCGTCTCTGCTTTTGGTGGTCATTTCTGATTAGTATGTTAGGGGTTTTGTGGGCATTAATTCGAATGCATTTGTAAAACAATATCTGACAAGGAGAATTTTACTTCACTTCTATAAGGCCATTGAAGGATATGTTTGATTTCCTGCTATTAATAGTGAGTGAGTGAGTATGGTTTTACGCCGCTTTTAACAATATTCCAGCAATATCACATTGTACCCACGTCGAGCTGCTATTAATAAGATTATGATATATATTTGTGATTTGTGAGGCATTTTGGTACATTGAACATGTGGGTTAAATCTTGAAAATCAATTTATGTGCACAGTGGTGTATGCATACCGCAAACAGTTCAATTCAACAGTTACCATCGTTTACAATATCGGAGGTTATAATAGTATACATACATATGTCCTTGCATGGAGTCACGTGACCTATCCACTGATTTTGCCACTTGAAGTGATAACAGTTCCTCGCTATCGTAGTTTTTATTGGCTTCTGTGCTGAGCATCTGGTCTGCGCTGCGAGATCTCGTATAGCTCAGACGAGACCTGAGACGTGCACTTCTTTGCACAGTTTGGCGATGTATGCAGCTGTCGCCTCTTTGTGTGTTCATCCCAGCACTTCTCGATGTCTGGCGTTGTGTGAGGAAAGGCCGACACGTAAGAGCATTGTGCCGCTCACTTAGAAATCCTTGAGGGCCAAAGGAGAGGTAATTACCGTTCCCATCTTCATCTGTGTAAACAAAACTTCATAGGTAACAATGAAGGGACTGTGTTTAACTTCGCACTATGCATTTCAACGTTTTTTTAATTGATGAATGAGTCAATAATTGTGACTTAAAATCGTAGTCGAGAAAATGAGTGATTAATTATTGGGAATCTATATGAACTTAGAGAGACAACTGCCTTACATGTCTCAGTGGATCTGCGGTGAAATTTATCGTTGCTGTGGAGAAATATAGCATACGACTCAATAAAGAGGAAAAGGTTCAGCTTAAACTTCCCTTTAGCCATATAATATAACTGATGTCTCAGTTTCGCACCAGTGACTAGTTACCGTATCAAGACCCATTCCCAGAATGTCCACTAGACTTCCTCTCCTTGAGAGATCTACTTCTGCAAACCTATTGAGTGTTTCTGTTCCGTTTTTCGTGCAGCCAATGCTGAAAGTGGGATATTCAAACATAGTTATTGCGTTTATTAACATCGTTCTACATCACTCACCGGAAGAACTAGATAGACTCCTGGTAGGCGGTCTCAGCTGGCCACTGAGGTCTTGTACAGCAGGCTTCAACTGCTCTCTTCCGGTCCAGCACGTGAATCGGCGGGGAGTAATCATTGTTTGTGTCACGACGCTTATTCCACTCATGGTAATCTGCAAAAGGCTTAGTTTATTACAATGACGACTATGGCCAGTTACGATGTCTGTTGCATCTTTTACACACCAACTAGGGTAGGTCTATCTCTGACAGCTGTATACAACCGGAAGTCAACAGAGCTATATTTAACGGACTAATCATATAGTTAATATAATATATTAAGATGGGGGCGGGGGAGGGTTGTCTTCTATTTTGTTTACAAATAGTCTTGTATTAAGGTATCTTTAAGAATTCATTTTTATTGGTGTATGTGTTCATGTTTATCTGGAATATTGACATAAACACACGCAGTCCATTTTATCGGGAGAAGGAGGGGCAGAAATGTACATCTTCATCATCTGGAACACACTTAGAACATCGTTTTCAGATCATTTTTTCCGACATATATATAAAACATATAACATACCATAGCAGTTTGAATATACCATACCATAACAGTTTGAATATATATATTCAAACTAGTATTACAGTAAACTACGGTTATAACGAACTCAAAGGGACCACTTATTCTAGTTCGTTGTAGCCGTGGTTCGTTATATGCATATATACAGCATAAGTGCAGCAAATAGTCGGGACAAAAAAGTAAGTTCGTTATATCCGTCAGTTCGTTATAAGCGTGTTCGTTATAACCGTAGTTTACTGTATATAGTTTGACGATAAGTAGTAGTACTTTTTTTAAATATTGTATATCTGATACCGCGTATCTGTACCTCGCGCTTCTATCATATCACAGCTGGTCTTGAGTGAGTGAGTGAGTGTGTGCTGTTTGCGCCACCGCATATTCCAGCTATGTGACGTCGACCTGTGAAGAATCGAAACAAGGACATGCCTCGTCGTATGTATGAATTTAGACCTGTCCTTTGTTACATTAACAACATCATCATGATAAGCCTCAACAATGTAAACAACCATAAAGGGAAATAAATAGGAACAGTCTCCACTCGTGTCCACACAATTGTATGCAGGCGAGTGGGAGGAAATGCAGACACGAGCCAGACACGTACATACACTTTAGATGTAAGAACTGTTACGTAAGCAACAAAAGAATGTATTGAGTGATTTCCCTGCCGACTTCCGCTCTATAGTGTGGCTCACACACCAGTAAGGCATGGTAAATAATGCATGGACAAGCAACACTTGGCTGTATCTAGGTCCCGCTTGCCCCAACACTACCTCCACCGTCACGGCATACAGCCCATAGCGGGGAGACATAACACAACCACTACCGGTTAAATATGCACTGTGGGATAGGCAGCTGCAATTAACACCACCCGCATCTGATGAACAAGCTCGGCTTCCTTGGTATTACGTGTGAAGAAGACTAGAGACTATGAAAGTGACTTAAAATTTAAAATATACTTACGGAGTGCAAAGAATAATATCAAAGGTTCGTAAAGTATTACGCCTCCACTTCATACATGGGGCAGGATACCATGCGATAGTGAGTCATAAACACATGTTTATGATATAGTCGGAAACATACAACCACCTCTGCTTTTGGTATATATATTTCTTATAATTATGTAAAGGGATTTTGATTTTATGTACATCCGAAAAGTACTTTAGTGAGTGAGTGAGTTTGATTTTACGCCGCTTTCAGCAATATCACGGCGGGGAACACCAGATATGGGCTTCACATATTGTTATCATGTCGGGAATCGAACCCGGGTCGTCCGCGTGACGAGCGAACGCTTTAAAAACTAGGCTACGCGACAGCCCCGAAAAGTACTTTAATATGACGCTATACACACCCACCGTCATTCCTTGGATGAAAACATCTTGGCACCATGAGCTTATTGTACTTCCATCGATACCTACCTCCCTACCGAGAATGTAATTGATGGGTCATTTTCCTTAGAAAAACTGCGTTGCGTCATCGTTATGGATTCTTGACGCGATCTATCTGATAAAATTGTTTTTAACCGACATATTATCTAAGATATGTCAAATGAATGGATTTGTGTTTCACTTATGAAATTGAAATTATTTGAAGAGAAACTACTTGGGAGTCCAATCTCATTAAAATCAGGTTTGAGGACATCCAATTACGGGATAATGTGTTTTCTAATCATGCAACCTCGAAAACGTTAACATGGGCTATTCCGAACGACAGTTACGGGCTGTGTGACTGAATCTGTCTGAATCACCGCTCATCTCTCGCTTCATAGGGATAAACATTTGAACAGAAGAGATTTCCCAGAGTCCTTTGGGAAGTACTGCCATACAATATCGACCATCTATTATTAGATATTCCAGAATTTTCTTTTGTTCCGTTTTAAAGTTAGAACGAGAACTTTGTCAAACATTTTCCAAAGCATAGTTTGGAATGGAAGTCGTCAGATTGAAACTAGTGCCGTATAGCTCGAACAAGCTGCTTTCTGTTTATAGCTATGTCGAATTTTGCTAGTCATTTCATTGGTGGGTCAAAGTTCGCCAAAGTTCGTTCTGATGTGACCTGTAATGGGATGTCCTCTTTCTTTATCGACAGCGAGCGCCGAGCACTAAGATCTGAGTATAATGAAATTGCTTGGACGGCTTGAGCGTTTAAGATGAAGATAAACCAATACACGAATCACTAAGTGTAGATACTAATTACGGTAATATCAATGTCAATGTATGTCAACGCCAGTTCTGTTCTAGCATGGCACCGTCAGTTCAGTTCTGTTCTAGCATGGCACTGTCAATTCAGTTCTGTTTGAGCATGGCACTATCAATGTCAGTTCTGTTTAGCATGGCACTATCAATGTCAGTTCTGTTTAGCATGGCACTATCAATGTCAGTTCTGTTTAGCATGGCACTAGTAATGTCAGTTCTGTTTAGCATGGCACTAGTAATGTCAGTTCTGTTAAGCATGGCACTAGGTCAGTTCTGTTTAGCATGGCACTAGTAATGTCAGTTCTGTTAAGCATGGCACTAGGTCAGTTCTGTTTAGCATGGCACTAGTAATGTCAGTTCTGTTAAGCATGGCACTAGGTCAGTTCTGTTTAGCATGGCACTAGGTCAGTTCTGTTTAGCATGGCACTAGGTCAGTTCTGTTAAGCATGGCACTAGGTCAGTTCTGTTTAGCATGGCACTAGTAATGTCAGTTCTGTTTAGCATGGCACTAGTAATGTCAGTTCTGTTTAGCATGGCACTAGTAATGTCAGTTCTGTTAAGCATGGCACTAGGTCAGTTCTGTTTAGCATGGCACTAGTAATGTCAGTTCTGTTAAGCATGGCACTAGGTCAGTTCTGTTTAGCATGGCACTAGGTCAGTTCTGTTAAGCATGGCACTAGGTCAGTTCTGTTTAGCATGGCACTAGTAATGTCTGTTCTGTTAAGCATGGCACTAGGTCAGTTCTGTTTAGCATGGCACTAGTAATGTCAGTTCTGTTTAGCATGGCACTAGTAATGTCAGTTCTGTTTAGCATGGCACTAGTAATGTCAGTTCTGTTAAGCATGGCACTAGGTCAGTTCTGTTTAGCATGGCACAATGTCAGTTCTGTTTTACCATGACGGTGTCAATGTCAGTTCTGTCTTTGCATGGCACTATCAATGTCAGTTCCGTTTAGCATGGCACAATGTCAGTTCTGTTTTACCATGACGGTGTCGATATCAGTTCTGTTTTAGTATTGCGCTGTCAATGCCACTTCTGTTTTAGTATGACATTGTCAATGTCAGTTCTAGTTTTGCATGGTGCTGTATATGTCACTTCCGATACAGTGTGATAACATTTCTGTTATTACATGGTACTATCAGTGACAGTTCTGTTATTACGTGGCACCATCAGTGGCAGTTCTGTTATTACATGTTGCCATCAGTGACAGTTCTGTTATTACATGTTACCATTAGTGACAGCTCTGTAATTACATGTTGCCATCAGTGACTGTTCTGTTATGCAATGGCCTCATCAATAACGGTTCTGTTATTACATGGCACCATCAGTGACTGTTCTGTTATTACGTGGCACCATCAGTGGCAGTTCTGTTATTACATGTTGCCATCAGTGACAGTTCTGTCATTACATGTTACCATTAGTGACAGCTCTGTAATTACATGTTGCCATCAGTGACAGCTCTGATATTATATGTTGCCATCAGTGACAGTTTTGTTATTACATGTTGCCATCAGTGGCAGTTCTGTTATTTCATGTTGCCATCAGTGGCAGTTCTGTTATTACATGACACCATCAGTGACAGCTCTGTTATTACATGTTGCCATCAGTGACAGTTTTGTTATTACGTGTTCCATCAGTGACAGTTCTGTTATTACATGGCATCATTGGTGACAGTTCTGTTATTACATGGCACCATCAGTGACAGTTCTGTTATTACATGTTGCCACCAGTGACAGTTCTGTTATTACATGTTGCAATCAGTGACAGTTCTGTTATAATATGGTGCTCTCAGTGACAGTTCTGTTATTACATGGCATCATCGGTGACAGTTCTGTTATTACCTGGCACCATCAGTGACAGCTCTGTTATTACATGGGGCTCTCAGTGACAGTTCTGTTATTAAATGTTGCAATAACTGACAGCTCTGTTATTACATGTTGCCATCAGTGACAGTTCTGTTATGCAATGGCACCATCAATAACGGTTCTGTTATTTCATGGCACCATCAGTGACAGTTCTGTTATTACATGGCACTATCAGTGGCAATTCTGTTATTACATGTTGCCATCAGTGGCAGTTCTGTTATTACATGGCACCATCAGTGACAGTTCTATTATTACATGGTGCCATCAGTGACTGTTCTGTTATTACATGTTGCAATCAGTGACATTTCTGTTATTGCATGGTGCTATCAGTGACAGTTCTGTTATTACATGGTGCTATCAGTGACAGTTCTGTTATTACATGGCACCATCAGTAACAGTTCTGTTATTACATGTTGCAATCAGTGACAGTTCTGTTATGACATGGCACCATAAGTGACAGTTCAGTTATTACATGTTGCAATCAGTGACAGTTCTGTTATTACATGGTGCTATCAGTGATAGTTCTGTTATTACATGTTGCAATCAGTGACAGTTCTGTTATTACGTGTTGCAATCAGTGACAGTTCTGTTATTACATGTTGCAATCAGTGACAGTTCTGTTATTACATGTTGCAATCAGTGACAGTTCTGTTATTACATGGTGCAATCAGTGACAGTTCTGTTATTACATGTTAAGGGGCGGTCGGGTAGCTTAGTCGTTAAAGCGTTCGCTGGTCACGCCGATGATCCGAGTTCAATTCTTGACATGGGTACAATGTGTGAAACCACTGTCTGGTGTCCCACGCCGTGATATTGCTGGAATATTGCTAAAAGCGGCGTAAACCCATACTCACTCACTCACTATTACATGTTACCCTCGGCAACTGTTCCGTTATTACATGTTACCCTCGGCAACTGTTCCGTTATTACATGTTACCCTCGGCAACTGTTCCGTTATTACATGTTACCCTCGGCAACTGTTCCGTTATTACATGTTACCAACAGTGACAGTTATGTTATTGCGTGGGTCTGTCACTGACAGTTTTGTTAGTCGGTGATACTGCAAATCACATAGTACTGTCAATGTAAGTTCTGTTATTACATAGTACTGTCAATGTACGTTCTGTTATGACATAGTACTGTCAATGTACGTTCTGTTATTACATAGTACTGTCAATGTACGTTCTGTTCTAGTATCGCGTCAGCGTCAATTCTGTTTCACATTGATAATGGACACCTAAATCCCATATAGAAATTATCCTTAGAACCTGACTAACCGTTTAATGGACTCTTCTTTTGGCAGATATATCTTATGATTATGGAGATGGTTATGTTGCCTTTATTTACCTTGCAGTGACCCCTTTAACCAAAAGAGTATAATATACACTTGACCTTTGCACCATAACACCTAGTCTAGTCAAACTACACACACACAGAGATATGGCTAGCGTTGGCGGTAATAACGTTGGTTGGTTTGTGGTTTGTTGTTTAACGCCGCACTCAGCAATATTCCAGCTCTATGAAAGCGGCCTGTAAATAATCGAGTCTGGACCAGACAATCCAGTGATTAATATCATGAGCATCAATCCACGCAATTGGGATCGATGACATGCATCAACAAAGTCAGCGAGCCTGACCACCCGAGGCCGTTAGTCGCATCTTACGACAAGCATAGTCGCCTTTTACAGCAAGCATTAGTTGCTGAAGACCTATTCTACCCCGGATCTTCACGGGTCGGCGGTAATAAAGAAACATCCAGCACCGGCACAGGAGAAGCGTGACTAGTACTGAATACATTGGTTCGTGGTTGCTTTCTATACGACGCGTGACGTTCCTAGTTCCTTGATCTTAAGCAACCCATACTTGGCGTAAGATGCGACGACGCTTGTCGTAAGAGGCGACTACTATCCTTGTCGTAAGAGGCTACTAACGGGATCGGGTGGTCAGGCTCACTGACTTGGTTGATGCATTGCATTGTATCAAATGGGGTAGATCGATGCTCATGATGTCAATCACTGGATTGTCTGTTCCAGACCCGATTATTTACAGACCGCCGTCATATAGCTCGAATATTGTTGAGAGCGGCGTTAAACAACAAAAAAACAAATCGTATCTGTACCTAAAATCTCACAACAACAGTAAGGATAACTACACCTATACAACTACACAATACAGCAGACACTACAACCCAGTGAAGATCCAGGTTACAATTTGTCTTCAGCAACCCATGCTTGTCGTAAGAGGCGACTAACGGGATCCGGTGGTCAGGCTCGCTGACTTGGTGCATGTCATCGTATCCCAATCGATGTTCATGATGTCAGTCACTGGGTATTCTGATTCAGACTCGATATTTACAGACCGCCTTCATATAGCTGGAATACTTATATGTGTGGAGTTGAACAACAAACAGACTCTACAATACAAAACATGTAGTACATGTACTCCACATACCTGTTTCTTTTCAATCCCGACAATGTTTTTTTCACCAATATCTGCTAGCACAGTAAAGTGTTACCAAAATCACAATTGCAACCTAACTTCATGCGAATATTGTTCAGCTCAGCGCGTGTGGAGAACGAGTCGCCACGTTATGTCTGTTTGACGCCCCGGCGCACTGGGTAACGGGTATTTCTTCTTGGAAGTCAGTTTGTCATGGGGAGATCTACTGGATTATCTCATGTGTGTTTAGATGGACACAGCAGCAATATGTTACTCCTGCGTGGCGGGTCCAATCCCTTTGAAACGTGGTCTTAATATACATGTCAATTAACCAACACAGCCTGGCAGTGTCACTGACAGAAAATCAACACCACTGCTCCCATGGAGAAGCGATCACAATATTCGGCGAGCTCCACACACAGTCTCTGGTTATTCAATGAATGATTCTACTTTATGGGTTTGCGTAGAAGTCTTCAAGAGGCACCGCTTCATTACCGCATGTATATATGCTGTCAATTGAGACGGTGAATCGCCAGACGCTTCTGTATATAGTCTCCCACGTCTTGTAGCCCTCAATACACTTCACTTGCCTTCTCGCGCGCGGAATTGAATCAACATCGCGGTAGTGTGTTGGAAGTGTATATCCTCAATTGTAATATAAGTGTCACCGCTTGTTGTGTTTAAGTGCTGTTTAACTACTCGTTGTCACAATCAGTCGCACACACGTCTCAACGCTTCAATATTGTAACTGTTGAAAGACGCTCCATTTAGGTAAGTTGATAGGGAAGCGGCGCTGTTGTGATCACTAAGGCCGGTAACTGCCAGTCACTACCCACAGGCCTCGGTCAACGCCATAATATAAATCTATCGTTGTAACGATCCGACAGTGACAGGTTATAGCCCCGGCTCTACACCGTTATCCATTCGGTGTTCTTCCACCCGACTGGGTGCGCATATATCGACATAAGAATATGTTTGATACAGTTCTAACACACCAGTCCTCCCACTGACTTCACAGTCCAACAGACGGAAACTTCAACTATCGTCCATCCGCTTTAACGATGATGTCCGCCATTACATCACGCATCTACTTAATCGAAAAGTTCGTGCAAAGGGACGATATATTCAAACTTTCATGAAACAAGCACGTGAATGGTAGACACGCAGACAGGCCACCAAGCATGGCGTGATAATGCAGGGAATTTGGAGAAATCAATTTCTGACCAAAGGAATTATTTAAGGCATCGATCGGAGACATCGGAGAATGGCTATCGAAGCCAAGCCCTAGTCCTCAACATTTCGTCATATCCGACTAAGGCGCGTTATATTAACTGAACAATAGTAGACGGGCAGTTAACTTGAATAATTCATCTGTTAAGCATCTTTAAGTATTCCCCATTTGATTAATGGAGAGAGTTACCATATGGCCCGCCACTCAATGGCCAGCGTTCACCGGTCTGTCTGCTAGGGTTTGTGTTATGTTTTGTTATCACAGTGATAAGAATATGTCACGATGTTGCAGTATACGACAGTTAATTTCCTGAATGTGTTGAGCGTGTGTAATTAATTTGATTAGTTTAATGACGCTTGTCTGCTTGAATGGTTGAATGGTTGGTAGTTACCCTCACGGAAACAATGAAGTCATGTTAATTTTTTTTTAACTATTTGTATGACATTTTATTATTTGTTTATTCATGGTTTTTGGTTTTGTTTGTTGTTTAACGCCGCACTCAGCTATATTCCAGCTTTATGACGGCGGTCTTAAATTAGCGAGTCTGGACCAGACAATCAAGTGATTGACATCATGAGCATCGATCCACGCAATTGGGATACATGCATCAACCAAGTCAACGAGCCTGACCACCCGATCCCGTTGGTTGCCTCTAACGGCAAGCATAGTCACCTTTTACGGCAATCATGGGTTGTTGAAGACCTATGCTACCCCGGATCTTCGCGGGGCCGTTTATTCACGGTATTTGTATCACACATACACATTTATATAGCTCTTTCTTCATCTACGTTTCTATGTTGTTTAACCACACTCCGCAATATTCCACGGCGGACCGTAAATGATCGAGTCTCGATCAGACATTCCAGTGATTGTGGGCAACGATCCACATCAACGGGGTACGATGACACGCAAACGGCCAAGTCACCGAGCCTGACAACCGTTCCATTTAGTCGGCTCTCACGACCAGCATAGGTTGCTGGAGACCCAATCTAGTCCAGAATCTCCACTGTCATTCATTCATATAATTGACACCACTAGTGTGCCTTTTATGCACAGTGGAATATGTTTCGGAAGATAATCTAGACTGATTATTCTCTGGTGTTGTTCCTCATCTATGATCGTTACAGTTTCATTGCATCAATGATCGTTACAGTTTCATTGCATCAATGATTGTTACAGTTTCATTGCATCAGTGGTCGTTAGTTTCATTGCATGTATGATCGTTACAGTTTCATTGCATCTATGATCGGTTACAGTTTCATTGCATCAATGATCGTTACAGTTTCATTGCATCAATGATCGTTACAGTTTCATTGCATTTATGATCGTTACAGTTTCATTGCATCTATGATCGTTACAGTTTCATTGCATCAATGATCGTTACAGTTTCATTGCATCAATGATCATTACAGTTTCATTGCATCAATGATCGTTACAGTTTCATTGCATCAATGATCGTTACAGTTTCATTGCATCTATGATCGTTACAGTTTCATTGCATCAATGATTGTTACGGTTTCATTGCATCTATGATTGTTACAGTTTCATTGCATCTATGATCGTTACAGTTTCATTGCATCAATAAGATGCGACAAGAGGGATCAAGTGGTCGGGCTCGCTCACTTGGTTGAAGCATATCCTCGTATCCCAATTGCGTGGATCGATGCTCATGATATCAATCACTGGACTGTCTGGTCCAGACACGATTATTACAGACCACCGTCATATGGCTGGAATATTGCTGAATGCGGCGTTAAACAACAAACATACAAACACAATCACTGCAAACTCTCCGAAAAAATGAGTGAGTGAGTTGGGTTTAACGCCACTTTTAACAGTATTCCAGTTATATCGCGGCGTGTCAGCTTAATGTGGGAGGAAAGCCCCAAGTGATGCAGGTCTCAGACGTTTACCACTTCGGTGAAACCCACGAACACGGGTATGGTGCTGACAAACCTAGAAACATAATCGGGGCGAACCGGGATTCGAACCCATAATCATAGGTTTCTGGCATGCCCAAGGGACGCAACTCTGCACAGCGAAACGCGGCGCCTTAGACGACTGGGCCACCCGTGCCCCCCTATCCGAGAAAAACTCTCTTATGCTCATACCGCATAAAATTCAAACATTCCAAACAGTGCAATCCAAAGTTTACCGCATATACCTTTACAACCGTAAGTTGGAAACTCTGCATGATATGAACTTAATAAATATATCACGAATTCATACGATTATAACTAGCCAACAATATTATCTCTCATACTCATTGTGCATACACGAATATGGCAATGTGCCATCATATTCCAATACAAAGATAATATTCATTTATGACATGGAAGACTGACATGCCTATCTCAGTATCTTCCACATACCTCCACGTTAAGCCATGCTTCTCCTAATGACCGACACAGGCACGTGACCCCCCGCTTGTACACTCTTCTGTCCACGGTAATCAGACCTGTGTATATTTAGAGATATACTTGCTGCTGAGTATGTGTGCTCTAACACCATGACTGTCATGGTTAACCCCTTCCGACGGCAATGAATACATGTCGACGGCAATCTCTGACCTATAATCATTTTGCCGACTCGGGTAAATGCTTCATTGTATTGTGACACCCTGTGAGGGGTCAGAGTGCAACGTTTAAATAATGGAAACAATTTATCTATATTGTTTATAGCGTTATCGGTTTAACTATTTATGCAAAATAAAGACCATATATTTCAGTTATACCTTGAATAATTTGAAATCAAGTACACATTTATTTTGTCTTGAAATTGAAATTCGGGCGGAGTATATAAATATGACAAAATATTCTTTGATGAACTTTGGTATGTTCCTGGTGATTTCTATAAACCTATCTTTATCATATAATATTGATTAGGATATCCAGTTTAAATATCAATCTTTCCTCAAGGAAGAGAGTTTGGTTTAATGCAAACATGTTTATCCCTTCTGTTCTGACGGGGACTGGGTGGCCCAGTCGTCTGAGGCCTGCGATTCGCTGTGCAGGGTTGCGTCCCTTGGACGTGGGTTCGAATCCCGGTTCGCCCCGATTATGTTTCTAAGTTTGTCAGCACCATACCCGTGCTCGTGGTTTCACCGAAGTGGTAAACGTCTGAGACCTTCATCACTTCGGGATTTCCTCCCACATTAAGCTGACACGCCGTGATATAACTGGAATAATGTGAAAAGCGGCGTTAAAACCAACTCACTCATTTCTGACATACGAAATTTAACATAACAGATGCTAAACGTGCATTACATATTGATTATAATGCGATTGTGTGATTACTAATTACATGCTACAACGTTTGTCAATGTCTCCACACTATGAACACAACGCGTATCAAATTATTCCTTTGTCAAATGGCGACGTGTACACAAGACGCGTGGTATTAAAATCGTCTCTTTCACGTGTAAGAGGAAACAATCTTACGTTTTGTAATATCTGGGTATGTAAAGGACAGACGCGTTCATTTTTCGATGTTAATCAGGTTTCTATCATTGATAACTCAACAGGAAACGTACACTATTGTCACGCGAGCTCGCCCCTGTAAACCGTCCCGGCCGTGGGTTCATACAGTTCTTAACAAAGTTTCCAGGTAGGAAACACCCACGGCTGAACATTCATATCGCACCAGGTTCTTGAGAACACTTGCAGAGTTTACCCATTGTACTTCAGCTGCTACCAGGATTTAACTTTTAAGATTCAAATGATTAAACAAACAGAAATTCTGCAGCTGGGTACATTATTAAGCCCTTCAGAGCAACTAAGGGACGTTTGGTTGTGGGATTTCTGTCGTGTTTTGTGGGTATAAAGATTTTATCGTTCTCCCTCATCATCACTATAACGCTCCGTTCAAAAACATGTTTGATAGTATGGGTTTGTTTATCTAATTAAGTATGACTTCTTATGTCTAAGTATTTTATATACGGATGAAGGAGGTGGTTAAGTGTTCACTATGGAATACCATATATGTGTATTTACCGAATTTATATCTTGAGAAAAGCATTCCTGCCAAAACGATAATAAAATGCCGTGTCACATGATTAACATGGTTGAGCCAATAATGCTATTTCTAGGTACCACCCGTGAGACACGTGGTAAAATAAAGGATTTCATTGTTGCTATACAGCTAACACGTTTATTTGTCGCCTGCATGGCTAAACCAGGCAAGTCTCAAAATACATATCGCATAGGTGCCTCGGTGCGCTAGACTGCGTTCTGTGCCCGACTTGGTCGCGGCCGGAACACAACAACCTGTAGTTGACAGTTTTGTTGTTTCTTAATTCAGCCATGTGTTTTCGTTGCCACTAGGGGTAATCATACGTCCTATCAGTAGACGGAGACGGCCACAAGCTATGGACAAAATTAAACATACACCAGAATGACACGGATCAGGGTGACTGAGTTGGGTTTAACGCCGTTTTTAACAGTATTTCAGTTTTATCGTGGACAGGGCTTTGAGTGGGGTGACTAGGGTAATGTACATACATGTTGCATAGGTTTACAGTACTTTGCATTATAAGAACGACGGGCGTGAAGTTTTTTGAACATCTAAATATATTTTTATTGAGTGAGTGAGTATGGTTGTACGCCGCTTTTAGCAATATTCAAGCAATATCACGGCGGAGGACACCAGAAATGGGCTCTACACATTGTACCCACGTCGGGCTGCTATTAATAAGATTATTATATATATATATATTAGGAAACTTAGTCTTAGACTCAGTTATAATTTAATCGAGAGCTCTGTTCACTAGTCAATATACAGAAATCAATCCATTCAGAACTTTTG